TGCCTTGGTGCTGCATTTTGCACTGCAAATCTATTTCACAGTTTGCTGCAGCCCATGTCAGTAGCAGAAAAAAAAGCAGCAAAGCAAAAAAAAAAAAAAAAGCAAAGCATATCCCCAAAAATTTAGCTATTAGTTTTAGAAAAATCACCTGAAAGAAGTCTGAATCTGTAACAACTCTTCATCTTTCTACGCAAAGGAACTACTGACCGAACAAAAAGTCAGACCAGTGACAAAGTTAACCAAAAGAAGCTTAGGTAGAGAGGAGAAAAAAAGAAACACATTACTTACTGAGAAAAAATGTAGAACAGTCAGGAAACAGATGAATGAAATTGGGGAAAGAGAAATGGGAAAGTTACAAAAGGAATTGTTTGAGTTGAGTTCCACTGGTGATGTTATGGCGGACATTAAGTAAAAATCACCCCACTAGAAGATACGCTGTAGCAAAGACTAATAAAGCTCCTAGTAAAGCCCTGACTTCATATTCTCCTATAAGGAATTCACATAATCATCACAGAATGTATAGCCTATCCATTTTTTCAGTTATATCTTTCAATAAAGAACCCCTGAAATGCAGTCAGACTACAGATGAGGAAAACTAAATTTAATCTAGATTTATGAATAAAGTCCTCTTTCTTTCCATACAGAAGACTACTGAATTGTAAATCTGAATTAAAAAATACAGTTTCTCTCATCACTGCATCTCATTTTTTATTTATTCAAAGGAAAAGCAAAAGAGCCAGAGAAGGAGTTCTGTCAGAAAAGCTTTACAGAAACTCCTCATCATGAGTCCATGGCATGAGAAGCATCTCCCATACTCCTGCAAGACTGAACCAAATCATGCCAGAGAATAACAAGACCAGTGCTGCTGGTGCTACATCCTGAAGAAAAGGAACAGATCCACATATCTCCATCTTCTTCCTGCTTTCACTGAACACAAGGGGAGGACCAAAAGCCAAGATCACAGGAAATTAATGATGGTTTGGTTTTTTGTGAACTTTGAGAAATGGGAAAAAGAGAAAGGGAGAAAACGTCTCCAAGGTTCTTTCACAGTCACCAGCAGTTTCTCTTCATCCTCAAGAAAGGCACAAGAGAATTACTGTGGGAGTAGTAAGCTATTGTTCCCAGAGCAACAGTCACTGGGAGTAGCACTTGGATGAGAAGAACATTAATTAGAACAGCTTTATGACCAGCTAAACTCGAAACCCAGCACACAAGTCTCTTTGGCATATATTTTTCATTTTCTGATGAACCTTGAAGTATTCTAAGTAAACCTTGCAGACTAAATACGTATTTTATTTCTCCCATTGTTACAAACCAGAAACATATAATACATAACGTCACTGAACAGGTCAAGTCCAACCCACTCCAACCCACACTAATCTATACAAAATCCACTGTAATGTATGTACATTAATTCTTTCAACCACAGTATAAATGCCTGTAGGTCTATAAAACCATATTAAAAAGACAACCTTGAACCCACCCAAAAGAAGTTAAGCTTTTGAAACAGATGTAGATACACATTGCACAGAATTAATTTGAAAATTCATACCATGGCATTTTTGGAGACTCCACTTGAAATGCATGCTCCTTATTTCTTTCATTTTGGGAGGATAAAATTCATGCCATAAAGACATACACCATTTTTGGCAACCTCTATGGCATAGTTAACCCAACCAATCAGCAAATGGTGGTGTCTCAAGTTTCAGAGTATGGAAATATTGCCAAATACTGACTTCATGAAGGCAATCATGAGCACTGTTTAGAGACCCACAAGATATTTTTGATGTTTGCTTTCCAAAAATTCCCATAGCTGGTGTATTAGGCCACCAGAGGGCAATCCCACACACTCATCCACAAGAAACAAGCATGGAAAGCGGCGTGGGGATGGAAACTGGACCTAAATAAAAACTCCAGAAAAAAAAAAAGTGGACTAAAATACAAGTTTGCTCCAAAATTCTTTATCCTCACAAACACACCACACCTCTATCTGATTTTTGGACTGGGTTCTTAAAATGCATGTTGCTAAGAAGAGCTTTCATAATATTTTTGCCAAGAGTAAACATAGCCTAACGAGTTACAGAAAAAAAAAGGAATTGCAAATGGAACTGTAAGGAAGTTCAGCCAAGGCAGCGCTCAGAGCTTTGCAAAGAAACTCTGGCAACGTCCTTGGAAGTTCCTCGGTGCTATCTACAGTACAGTAAATCTAGAAGTATTTATGATGCATTTATGTCAGGTGAATGCAGCTCATGTTTTTTATTCTAATCCCTGTTAAATATCAGGGCAGCATAGGACATGTTGCGAAAAATGTAAACGTTAGTCTTCTTGTTATCTTTCTTAGAGGATAAAATTACATATTTCATGTATAAAAGTAATACTCCCTGCAAAAAATGTAAATGTTAGTCTTCTTGTTATCTTTCTTAGAGGATAAAATTACATATTTCATGTATAAAAGTAATACTCCCTAAGACACGATGCAGACAGAGGTGATACTACAGATTTCAGGAAAACAGTAGAATCTTGGGCCTTTTGAAAGTATTTTTGTAGGAAGCAACTTTAGAGAAAAAGATCATAAAATGAAGCAGGCAATTTATTAATTCACATAAGCTTTACAACTCTTTGCAGGTTACTTTAAAAGAAAGTGAAAAAAAAAGCTAAGTTTTTCAAACATGTAACATTCCTGAATAGATAATAATGGAAAATTATTTTATAAATAATTGTGTAATTCTATCAAATACTCTTGCTTTGACACATGAAAAAGATAACAAATTTTCTAAAGAGAAAAACATTC